TGACGCCGGCTTTCGGGAGAGAGAGGAGCACAGAGGGTCCAGCCAGCTCCAGACAGCCCTGCTCCACCACCACCACCAGCACCACCACCAGCACCACCATCAGCACCACCATCACCATCAACACCACCACCATCAACACCACCACCAGCAGCAGCACCACCACCACCATCATCAACACCACCACCAGCAGCTCCACCACCATCAACACCACCACCATCAGCACCACCACCATCAACACCACCACCATCAGCACCACCACCACCACCAGCAGCACCACCATCACCACCACCACCATCAACACCACCACCACCAACACCACCATCAGCACCACCACCATCAGCACCACCACCACTAGCATCATTATCATCAACACCCCCACCACCACCATCAGCACCACCACCAGCACCACCAGCAGCACCACCAGCACCACCAGCAGCACCACCAGCACCACCACCAGCAGCACCACCAGCAGCACCACCATCACCCCCATCAACACCTTAAACAACATCATCACAACCGTCTACATCATCAAAACCATCAACGATGACAACATCATCGCCAACAACAACAGCCGACATTCGCCCCTACGTGGCAGCGGTGACGTCACCACGGCGCCTGTGCCAGGCTAGGTGCACTTTGAGGCCACCACGGTCGAAGGCTCGCTGCTGGCAGGAGGTCTCGGGACAGACCCAGCAGGTGCCGTAGGTCTCGGGACAGACCCAGCAGGTGCCGTAGGTCGACTGACTGAGATGACCGGTAGATGCACCACCAGCTGTATCCCCTACTGTGCAAACTCGCTGCGTTTTATCCACTCGTTGTTGTGAGCGTTGCTCCTCCGCCCTTCGTTGTTGTCGGAGGAGGCGACTGCCCTCCAAATGCCCAATAGCCTCACTGTGCACCTAGCCTGGCACCCCCCTCCCCAGTAGCGTCCTTCATGAGCCTCCTCCTCCACAGAGGCCGATCTTGACACCGCTGGTATCGCTCATCGGCAAGTCCACTCAGCTCCACGTCCTCACCACCACCATCAACCACCACCACCATCACCACCGTCATGAACGCCACCAATCACAACCACCATGGCGGGTAGGCTGGCGATAACAATCGACATGGTGATGGTCTTGTAAAGCTGATGATGGTGAAGAGAGCGATGGAGGCTATGATGGTGACGTGGGCCACGGGGGTCATGGGGGCGATGATGGTGATGATGGCGATATGGGTGATGGCGATGTGGGTGATGGTGATGATGACCATGTGGTTGATGCGGGTGATGGGGGCGATGTGGGTTATGGTGATATGGGTTTAGGGGGCGATGTTGGTGATTGTGGGTGGGTGATGTTGGTGATGTTGGTGGGTGATGTTGGTGATGTATCTTGCCTGGTCTTCTCCTCTCTGCAGCTCGTCTGCGCTGAACGGACGGACTCGGAGAAAGCCCTGCAAGGATCGCGACTGGGAGACAGGGAGAGTGGTGGGTGAGTGAATGGGTGAGTGAGTGGGTGAGTGGGTGGGTGAGTGAGTGAGTGGGTGAGTGAGTGGGTGAGTGAGTGAGTGGATGGGTGAGTGAGTGAGTGAGTGGGTGAGTGAGTGAGTGAGTGGGTGGGTGAGTGAGTGGGTGAGTGGGTGGGTGAGTGAGTGGGTGAGTGAGTGGGAGAGTGGGTGGGTGAGTGAATGGGTGAGTGAGTGGGTGGATGAGTGAGTGAGTGGGTGAGTGAGTGGGTGGGTGAATGGGTGGGTGAGTGAATGGGTGGGTGGGTGGTTAAGTAAGTGGGTGAGTGAGTGTGTAGGCGAGGACGTAAGTAGGTGAGCGAGTGAGCACGTAAGTATGTGAGTACGTGAATGGGTGGGTGAGTGGGTGGGTTAAGTGGGTGGTTGGGTGAGTGGGTGGGTGAGTGGGTAGGCGATTACGTAAGTAGGTCAGTGGATGAGTAGGTGAGCGAGTGAGCACGCAAGTGGGTGAGTAAGTGGGTGGGTGAATGGGTGAGTGAGTGGGTGGGTGAGTGTGTAGGTGAGCGAGTAGGTGAGTGAGCGAGTAGGTGAGTGGCTAAGCGAGTGGGTGGATGAGTGAGTAGGTGAGCGAGTAGGTGAGTGAGCGAGCGAGTAGGTGAGTGAGTAGGTGAGTGGGTGAGCGAGTAGGTGAGTGAGCTCACTCACCTGCTCACTCACCTGCTCACGTCTGGGGCCCCCCGCCTCCATCCCGACATCAATAAGCAGCGCGCGCGCGCCCCGAGGCGCGGCTATTTATAGCGATGCGGGGCCACGTGACCGCGCAGGTAATTAATTAATTTATCAGCGCATCGATTGTGGGCGTTGGTTGTGAACTGCAGTGCTGTCTTTAAATTATAAATTTTATTACTACACGCTTTTATTTAACTCACTGTGTCTGTTGTAGTTGTTGTCGTATCCTCAAATATTGTAACTCAATTTTAACCCACTTCCCAATGTGGTATCGACTGCAAACTTGGTATACTTATGTCATACTGATGACAATACTATATTATATCATGAAAAATATTTTTAAACATTAAAAAAAAGATATTTTTTAACATTTTTTGTATATGTTATGTTTTGGCTTGGGTCTAATTGTCCACGGTCAACTGGCGTTGGCTCTAATTGGCCACGGTCCCTTACGTTGTGGCGAGTTTCGGGGCCACTTCCTGGAGTCGTGGAGTTCTTCCATTACAAGTGCGGTACATTTCATTAAAGAGTGTTTAAAAAAAAGTAGTTTTAAATATTACTTATTTTACTTATCTGTCCCGAGCTGTGTAGCTATTTTACAGAAGCAGGCACTGCCTATGTATATTATATGTTTAAAACTATATTTCGATTTAAAGCTTTCGTGACTGCAGGGATTCATCTTCTTGGTTCTTTCGGTAAAGTCACGTAGAATGGAAATAATAAAATAATAAAAATAAAACATAATAAAATAATTCTCACGACGTTTCGGCCACAACGCAAGCAGCCGTCCTCAGGTGGAGAACAGGTCTGTCGGGAAGACAGAGTCTGAATGACACACCCCAGGCTTGGAGCGACTATTTAAGCTGGGATAGAGGGGAGAAGAGCGCCTTGACAAAATAATTTGAATATCAAGAGGAATTTAGCATATTTATGGAAAATGCAGAAATGCGATTATTACTACTTGTGAAATGCGTAGGAGGTGACTTTACCGAAAGAACCAAGAAGATGAATCCCTGCAGTCACAAAAGCTTTAAATCGAAATTTATACGTTTTTTTGTTTGATTCGCGTAAATAGAAATGTGTCGTTAAACCCGCCACCACCCGACACACCCAATCAGCAAGGTTTGTCACGTATTGAACAGAACGTTTCCAACTCGTTGCTCGTGTAAGGGATGTCGGGGGAAGGATTCCCACCAACAGGAAGGGGAGTGGGACGGTGAGGAGCAGGCGAGGAGAGAGAACGGGCGAGATAAAGGGGGAATTGGTGGTCACCGGATCGAGAAGGCTGTCGACTGGGGGAAGCAATACAAGACGAACCCCCTGCAACCTTATGTCGGCTCTCCTTTGCACCAGTACAGCACTAACCGGTTGTGTGTTGGAGAGCAAAGCCACAATGCGAGTACGACGTTTCGCCAATAATTACAACTAGCTTCATCAGGTGGACAGCCAGATTTGTTGATAAAATCCTCCGGTTTCTCATCATCATCATCATATGTAAAACTATATTAATTTTATTTTACCAGGTAAGGCCTCACTGAGCCATGTAGCTCTTTTTCAGAAGCGACCTGGCCACCACAAATGATAACTCAACTTAGTGGCTTATACTGGTAGGAACCACCTGATTCCACCAGCCCACAGGGGATTATTGTGTCCGTCCGTCCGTCGTGCATCCAAAAATGGGAGGGGTGGGGCTGGGTGGAGAGGGGAGGGTGGGGAGGGGAGGGTGGGGAGGAGTGGGAGGGGTGGGGCTGGGTGGGGAGGGAAGGGTGGGGCTGGGTGGGGAGGGGCTGGTCGCCCCGTGGTGCCCTTATAAAACTCACCGTTTAACCTACTCACGCCGGCTTGTGCCCGCCCTCACAGTCGGGCATATTTGCGGAATACACCACGCCGCCGTTGACCCTGGCCATTGACCGAGCAACCCGACGTTCCTACCAGCTCCCTCCGCAGGAATGTGTTCGCGTGGAAATTTATAGCAGCAAAACACTCTGACGTTGATTCTAAATGTGGAGGGAAAAAGCGGAGGACCCGGAGAAAAATCCACGCGACCACGGCGAGAGAGAGAGACACACACAAACCCCAAATATACAGCAGCAGGCGTCAGGGTTGGGATCGAACCCACGACCTCCTGTATACCAGGCGAGGTAGTTAACATCTCTTAGCCACCGTGGGGCCCCATCACAAATGATAGCTGCAACGAAGTGGCTGATTTCATCATCATCATCATCATCGTGTGCCATGTGACGTTCATTCTAAATGTGGAGTGGAAAAAGCGGAGGACCCGGAGAAAAAATCACAGCGAGAGACGCAGCCTTGAAATATACAGCAGCAGACGGCAGCGTGGGGATCGAACCCACGACCTCCTGTATACCAGGCGAGGGAGCTCACACGGGGGAAGGGGGGGGGGACTTGGCCAGGGGGCGTGGCCAGTGTGTCAGTGGGCGTGGCCAGTGGGAGTGGGCGTGGTCAGTAGACGTGGTTATTTAAGAGTGGGCGTGGTTATGTAAGAGTGGGCGTGGTTATGTGAGAGTGGGCGTGACTATGTAAAAGTAGGCGTGGCTATGTAAGAGTGGGCGTGGTCAGCGCGAGAGTGGGCGTGGCTATGTAAAAGTGGGCGTGGCTATGTGAGAGTGGGCGGGGCTATGTGAGAGTGGGCGGGGCTATCGTTGCTGGCTCTCTCCCGCTTGGGCTCTGATTGGGCGGCTGTCATCGCAATCTCACTGCCGCTGCACAACCCACCGTAACACGCGCGTGCTTTAAATATACGTTTATTTTCTTACCAATAAAGCGACATGGATGCAGCGCAAGGGAGAGGTTATGTACAGGTTTAGAACGTGCCTCTCGCGCGTTTATAAAAGGTTTGCGTGCACGTCGGGACGTGCGTGCGTTGTGTTGCGTGTGGCGACGCCTGGAGACGGGATTACACGCTCCAGTCTGCATGCACATTACAAGTTCGATACAAAAATACCCACTTCTTGCTCGCTCTCCCCCCCACCCCCTCCCCCGACGTCTGCTATATTTATCATCTTCACATTTTCTTCGCGAGGTCCCGATGCACACTTTACAATATTTACATTTGCACATATATATTTCGTTTTAACTGATGACGATAATAATCATCATCAGAACTGCTTTTTTGTGGTTTAGTTTGTTGCCCTTCCCCCCCACACCTCCGACTACGCACGCTGCGAAAGACGTTCAACGTACATACAACATCCCCCCCTTACATACATCATCCCTTCCATACGTAGTAGCAATAATAATAATAATGAATGATAGCAGAAAGCACGCGAGTTGATTGCAAGGGCTCTGAATGTGTGAGTGACGAGTCAGCTGGTCTCACGCCAAGTATATGGGAACTAGATGCGCGGGTGGGATGAACGCCATCGCATCGCCGTGGCAGCGGCAGCGCTAGTCCCGGCCGAGCTAGGAGGCCTCCTGCGCAAGGAAGCTCTGGATCTGCGGGAAGGTCGGCCGGTCCAGCGACTCCCGGCGCCAGCACCGCAGCATGAGGTCGTAGACGGGAGCGGGGCAAGCGGGCGGCTGGGACAGGTACATCTGCTCGCACACGTGGAGAGATACACAGAGCGCCAACGGTGGCAAGATGTTAACTACCTCACCTTGTATACAGGAGGTCGTGGGTTCAATCCCGACCCTGAGGCCTGCTGTGTATTTAGAGTTTGCATTTTTCCCCATGGTCACGAGGATTTTTCTCCGGGCCCCCAGTTTGCAGCTCATTTGTGGCCAGGTCGCTTCTGAAAAAAGAGCTACATAGCTCAGTGGACCTGGCGAGAAGGCCTAGCGATGAGAGCTATTGATGAGGCCTGGTGAAGAGGGCTAACACAGAGGCCTAGCGAGATGCCCTGGTGAGGAGACCTAGCGATGAGGCCTGGTGAGGCCTAGTGAGGAGGCCTAGCGAGGAGGACCGTCCAGTTTTAAGCCAAATACTCAAAACATGCGCTTAGAGTATTTGGCTGCTATACATTTCCACATGAGCCACTTTGTTAAGCTATCATGTGTGGCCAGGTCACTTCTGAAAAATAGCTATATAGCTCAGTGGGCCAAGCAAGAAGGCCTAGCGAAGAGGCCTAGCGAGAAGAGCTATTGATGAGGCCTGGTGAGGAGGGATAGCAGGGAGGCCTAACAACATAGCCAAGAGAGGAGGCCTAGCGAAGAGGCCTAGTGAGAAGAGCTATTGATGAGGCCTGATGATGAGACCTGGTGAGGAGGTCTGGTGAGAAGGCCCGGCGACAAGGCCCAGCGACGAGGGCGCACCTGACGGCCGTTGTCGCGGAAGAGCTCCCCGGCGTTCTCGATGACCAGCTCGTCGGTGAGGCCGCCGTACGGCTGCTCTTGGCAGAGCGACAGCAGCTCCCACAGCGTGACGCCAAACGCCCACACGTCCGAGCCCGTCGTGAACTTGCCCTGTGCGGTGACACGGTGCCAGACAAAGATCCCCCCGTGTTGCCTTTTAACAGACTGTAGGCAGGGAAAGTGCTGTCGGCAAGTAGCGGCACTGTGGGGAAGAGGTGGGTGGCCAACACCAGCGGCGATGTTGACACACCGCACCAGATACTCATTTGAGTCTGAGTCGACCTAGGGGAGGCCCCAGGCCCGTTAAAATAATCGTCAGTGGTGTTGGCCATGAGCAGGAATCGAAATCGGGTAGCCGAGTTCGTAGAGCAACGTGCTAACTGCTACGCCACCAATCCCCGGTGGCCAATACCAACACCCGCTATTCTCCACTAAGTGACGGTGACGTTACCACGGCGCCTGTGCCAGGATAAGTGCACTTTGTTGAAGGCTCGCTGACAGGAGGTCACGGGACAGACCCAGCAGAGCCTCCTTCACAGAGGCCGATCTTGACACCGCTGGTACCAGTCGTCGGTAAGTCCCCTCAGCTCCACATCCTCCTGTACCACATCAGCTCCATCTCTTCTCCAGCCCATGTCGTGCCCGTTTAGTCCCCCTCTATGTGACCAAATAGAAACTGCTTTGGCATGAGGTGGCTGGGCATGCGGGCTACATGACCCAGCCAAAGCAGCCTTGTCTGCCGGAGGAGTTCACCGATGGGAATGTGTCCAGATCTTTCAAGGATTTGTGAGCTCCTCACACAATCCAACCTGCTGGGTAAACCCAGGACGGATCGTAAACCCGGGATAGATCGGTGGCACACACCGTGACACACACAAAGCATAGACACACATATGCAGTGACATGCACGGACAGGGACACACACCTAGTGGCACACACAATATAGACACAAACTGTATAGACACACACAGTATAGACACACACACCGAGGCAGACACAGTATAGACACACACACAGTATAGACACACAGTATAGACACACACACCGAGGCAGACACAGTATAGACACACACACAGTATAGACACACACAGTATAGACACACACACCGTGACACACACAGTAGAGACACACACACAGTATAGACACACACACCGTGACACACACAATATAGACACACACAGTATAGACACACACAGTATAGACACACACACCGAGGCAGACACAGTATAGACACACACGCAGTATAGACACACACAGTATAGACACACACACCGTGACACACACAGTATAGACACACACACAGAGACACACACAGTATAGACACACACACCGAGGCAGACACAGTAGAGACACACACACAGTATAGACACACACAGTATGGACACACACACCGAGGCAGACACAGTATAGACACACACAAAGTATGGACACACCAGAAGCACGCTCTCCCAGGCCATCCAGCGGATGGGCAGCACGGCGCGGCCCTGGATGCGGTAGTAGTCGCTGCTGTAGAGGTGACGGCTCATGCCGAAGTCGGCGATCTTGATGGTGTGCGCCGGCCCCACGAGGCAGTTTCGCGACGCCAGGTCGCGGTGCACGAAGTTGAGCGACGCCAGGTAGGACATGCCGGCGGCCACCTGCACGGCCATGAGCAGCACCTCCACCACGCTGCCACGCGGGAGACGCACGCGGTCACAAAGATCCGCCCCCCCCCCCAATCTCACCCTCGTCTAGTCTTAATAGACTGATACTCTTAGTTTTTTCGGTAAAGTCACGTAGGTAAAAAAATGAAATTAAAATTAATAGAAATAAAATAATAAAAATCACGACGTTTCAGAGGCAACACAAGTCTCCGTCATCAGGTGAGACCGTCACAGCCAGATTTGCTGTATCAAGTGAGGCAGGGATTCCAAGATGCAAGTTCTTAAATACAAGTTAAGGGGGAGGGGAGGTGGGGGGAGCTTATCAGAATGTGGTTGCCAATGAATGGAGCGTATTGGGAGGGGGGCGGGGCTAAAAGAGAGCACGAGGTTTAAGTAGACGTCGACGTGGACGTGTTTGTTGAGATCGCCGTCGTCGTCATAATTCGTCATCGTCGTCGTCGTCGCTTTCATTGTCGTCGTCATCGTCGTCGTGCATAACTGGCCGCTGCACCTACGCGCTCCGCACGGCGTATTAACCACCCGGCGCTCCGCTGGTTGTGACTGTCTCTGCCCTCCGTTGTTGCTACAGAGCGACTGCCTCCAACTGCCCAGCGGCGTCCTTCACGAGCCTCCTCCTCCTCCACAGAGGCCGATCTCGACACTGCTGGTTCCAGCGAGCCACACGGAGGGCGGTGACTACTTCTTCCGATATTTTTGAGGCACCACAGCTCCAGCAGGTTCATCCCACACCTTGCCCCAGGTTCAGGTGAGTGAGTGAGCGATAAAGTGAGCGAGATCGCCTGAGATCGGTTCAGGTGAGCGAGTGAGTGAGGGAGATTGCCTGAGATCGGTTCAGGTGGACAGGTGAGTGAGGGCGATTGCCTGAGATTGGTTCAGGTGAGCGAGTGTGCGCTAGTGAGATCACCAAAGGTCAGCGCAGGTGAGTAGGCGAGTGAGGGAGATCACCTAAGCTCAGTACATGTGAGTGAGGGAGATCACCTGAGCTCAGTTCACGTGAGTGAGATCACCTTAGCTCAGTACAGGTGAGTGATCGAGCGAGCTCAGTACAGGTGAGCGAGGCGAGGCGATGCGAGAGAGCTACCTGAGCGTGGGCCCGGGGCCCTGTCCCTCCCAGCGGTGTGCCGACAGGAAGTGGTGCAGGTCTCCGTTCTCCATGTACTCGGCGAGCATGCAGAGCGGCTCGTCGCGCAGGCACACGCCCACGAGTCGCACGACGTGAGCGTCGCGCAGCCGCGACATCGTCTTGATCTCCTTCAGGAAGTCGCTCCTGACGCACGCAGAGACCCCCCCCCCACGTAGCCTCAACGGACTGTTGGGGCAGGCGCCGTTAGCGAGCAGCGCCTATGAAGGCTACCGGTACTGTGGTACACGAGGGGGTGGGAGGCCAGCATCACGCTCGGCCGCCTTTGTCTCCCCAGTGGCGATGTTTACGCACCGCACTGGGTACTTATTTGAGGCTGAGTCGACCTAGGCGAGGCCCAAGACCGGTTCAGATAATCGTTACTGGTGTTGGCCATGAGCGGGAATTGAACTCGGGTCGCCGGGTTCGTAGCGCAGGGCGCCAATCGCGACACTACCGCTTTAAGACACACAGACACACACACAGACACACACACAGGCGACACACACGCACGCTCACCTGGCGCTGCTGGAGGCGTCTTCCCGCAGCATCTTGACAGCCACGAGTGTGGGCTGCTGCGGCCCCCCCCTCGTGCCCCCCTCGTCGCTTTCCTCCTCCCCCACCTCCACCTCGTCGTCGTCGTCCATGCACCGCGGCAGCCCCACGGCCTCGCACAGCAGCACCTGGGCACACGACCAGAGCGGCACGTCGTCATCGTCGTCGTCGTCACCGTCGTCGTCATCATCGTCACTGTTGTCGTCATCGTCGTCATCGGCATCATCATCGTCGTCGTCATCGTCATCATCGTCACCGTCGTCGTCATCGTCACCGTCGTCGTCATCGTCACCGTCGTCGTCGTCATCATCGTCGTCGTCATCGTCGTCGTCGTCATTGTCATCATCAACGTCATCATCACACAACCACAATGAACACCACATCATCGTCATCATCATGTCCCATGTCTCAGTGTCCCGTGTCCCAGTGCCATTGTCTCCCCATGTCCCAGCGGCCCCGTTGTCTCTGTCCCAGCGGTGACGTTGTCTCTGTCCCAGCGGTGACGTTGTCTCCCCATTGTCTCCCCCATGTCTCAGCGGCCCCGTTGTCTCTGTCCCAGCGGTGACGTTGTCTCACCTCTCCGAACTGCCCCTCCCCCAGCTTCTCCCGCACGCGCAGCGTCTCGCGCGGCACCTCCAGAAGGCGCGCCACGCCGCGGTGGCCCGGCGGCACCTCGTGGTGGCCCAGGGGCACCGCCGCCGCCGCGTCTCCCGGCACCGCGGGGACGGCGTAGGCGCTGCTGCCCGTCACGCCCTGGCGACACAACGGCGACAACAACAACAACAACAACATCGACAAGCAACATCGGCAGCATCAACAGCATGAATGACAACATCAACAGCATCAACATCAACAACATCAAAATTAACGGCAGCATGAACATCATCAATATCATTAACAACAACAACAACATCATCAACAAAATCAACATTTACTACAACAGCATCAACATTAACAACAACATTAACCACAACATTAACAACATCAACAACATTAACATCAACGTCATGATCATCGACAACATCAACATGAACGACACCATCAACAGCATCAACAGTAAAAACATCATCAACATCATCAACATTAACGACACCATCAACACCATCAACATCATCAACATCAACAACATCATCACGACTCGGAGAGGGAGGAGCAGGAGACACAGACGAGGAGTGCGAACGCAGCAGCAGCAGCAACAGCAGCAGCAGCAACAGCAGCAGCAACAGCAGCAGCAGCAACAGCAGCCGCAACAGCAGCAACAGCAGCAGCAGCAACAGCAACAGCAGCAGCAGCAGCAGCAACAGCAGCAGCAACAGCAGCCGCAACAGCAGCAACAGCAGCAGCAGCAACAGCAGCAGCAACAGCAGCAGCAGCAACAGCAGCAGCAGCAACAGCAGCAGCAGCAACAGCAGCAGCAGCAGCAACAGCAGCAGCAGCAACAGCAACAGCAGCAACAGCAGCAGCAGCAACAGCAGCAACAGCAGCAGCAGCAACAGCAGCAGCAACAGCCGCAGCAGCAGCAACAGCAGCAGCAACAGCAACAGCAGCAACAGCAGCAGCAACAGCAGCAACAACAGCAACAGCAGCAGCAGCAGCAGCAGCCGGCACCACCACCGATTGCCCCAAGCTCTGCCGCCCTCGACCTATCGAGGTGTTCCCGGCCCCGGGAAGGGAGCGTCACGAAATCCGAGCGGTGATCCACCAACCCTGGACGTCGCTGGGTCAGAGCCCACGCCACGTGCAGTGCACCGCCCCCCTGGGCCTCCCCTAGGTCGACTCGGCCTCAAATGAGCACCCGGTGGCGGTGCGCGGTAAACATCGCCGCCGGGGAGACAAAGGCGGCCGGGCGCGACGCTGCACTTGCCCCGACGGCCCATCGGAGGCTACGCGGGGGACCTTTGCCTGCGCGAGTACCTGCATGTCCAGGATGTCGGCCACGGCGTAGTGCTGGGCGCCGTCAAACAGCGGCAGCTCCGGTTCCGCGTAGTCCCCGCAGCCTGCAACACGCAGCACGTGGGGGTCTTACCACGTGGTCTCACCACGTGGGGGTCTTACCACGTGGACTCACCACGTGGGGGTCTTACCACGTGGTCTCACCACGTGGGGGTCTTACCACGTGGTCTCACCACGTGGGGGTCTCAGCACGGGGGACCAGTTTGGGTAATCGTTACAGGTGTTGGTGGCCGTGAGCAGGAATCGAACTCGGGTCGCTGGGTTTGTAACGCAGCGCGACACCACCACCACCACCACGACCACCACCACTACCACAACCACCACCACTACCACCACCACCACCACAACCACCACCACAACCACCACCACCACGGCCACCACCACAACCGCCACCACAACCACCATGACCACCACCACGACCCCCACCACCACCACGACCGCCACCAACCACCACCACGACCACCACCACCACGACCACCACCACAACCACCACAACTACCACCAAGACCACCACCACGACCACCACCACCACCACGACCACCACAAGCACCACCACGACCACCACCACCACCACGACCACCAAGCACCACCACCACCACCATCACGACCACCACAAGCACCACCACCACAACCACCACCACAAGCACCACCACGACCACCACCACAACCACGACCACCAAGCACCACCACCACGCACCGCCGCCCTCGGCGCGCTCGAGTGTGCGCTCCGCGTGCAGCAGGCGGCGTGTGGGCCGCGTGCCCGGCTCGCGGTAGCCGGGTGGCAGCGCCGGCGGCGGCTTCGTCTGCGGCAGGGCCGAGCCGGCGCGCTGCAGCGAGCGCCCGTTGAACATCACCGTGTCGCACGGCACCGACAGACGCACCGTAATGCCGTCCTCCAGCATGGCGCGCGGGGCCTGCGGGGAGCAGGGGGGAGGGGGGCGTGGAGAGGGGGGGGCTGATTGTTGCCGGCCGTTTTTGACGTTCGCATGACCTCTGGTCCCTACGCGCAACGCTCAGCGACTGGGTGTAAAAACAATGACGGTGCTGATTGTTGCTGACCGTTCGCGTGACCTCTGGTTGCCTACGTGCAACGCTCAGCCGCTTAGTAAACAAGAAGAAAAGTGAAAAAAACGTTGACGGTGCTGATTGTTGCTGGCCGTTGTTGCCATTGGGTTCCCACCTTCTCGAGGAACTTCCTCCAGTTGTGCCGCCAGAGGATGAGTGCGATGATGACGACGAGGAGGAGGATGATGGCGACGAGGCAGGCGACCAGCACGGGCGCTCTCTCGTCGGCCGTGTCCATGGGCCTCCCGGACAGCGTGGCCCCCGGGGCCCCCGGCACCCTCGTGCCTGCTGAGCTCGCACCCGCGGGGCAGTTTGTTAGATCGCGTAGAGATATAGAAAAACGTTGTGTCTTCTTGGTTCTTTTGGTAAAGTCACATAGAAGGGAAGTAATGAAATAATACAAATTAAACATAATAATTCTCACGACGTTTCGGCCACAACGCAAGCAGCCGTCCTCACCTGAGGGCCTCACCTGAGGACGGCTGCTGCACCTGAGGACGGCTGCTTGCGTTGTGGCCGAAACGTCGTGAGAATTATTATGTTTTATTTTTATTATTTTATTACTTCCCTTCTACGTGACTTTACCGAAAGAACCAAGAAGATGAATCCCTGCAGTCACGAAAGCTTTAAATCGGAACGTTGTGTCGTCAAGCCCGCCACCACCCGACACAGCCAATCGGCAAGGCTTGTGTCACGTGAACAGGACGTTGCCAATTCGTCGCGAACACAGCGCCGCCGTTGGGGGGCTGGAGAGCCGAGCCGCGACATTCACAATCTGAGCAGCGCGACGTTTATTTATATTATTTATTATTTAATAAAGTGAATAAAAGTAAAAAATTATTCACTTTTTTTTCATAAGGTGAATACAACACTTTATTCGCTTAGTTTCTATCATTATTTAATAAAGTGAATTAAAGTACAAATTAATTCACTTAAATTTTTTCTTATTATTTTTCTATCTACGTGACTTTACCGAAAGAACCAAAAATTAAAACCTGAATCGTCATTATCATTATTAGATCTTCCCCACGCAAAGTGGTCACCCATTTTATCGACCCCCCCCCCCCCCCCCCACCACCGCCTTCCCCTGTAGCGAGCGTTGATGATGGGCCGACTGAACCTCCACGGACGTGGAGCGCCGCTCACCGTGTGCGCGGCTGGTGACCTCCGGCCCGCGCGTGCCAGAGGGGGGCGGTGGGGGCGGGGCGCCCCCCCCTGGTGGGGCGGGCGGTGGGGGCGGTGGGGGGCTGCGGGCCCCCCCCCTCGGCGGGGTGGGAGGGGGCGGGGCTCGTGACACGGGCTCCTGGCTCCGGTCTGTGGGGAGGGGGGAGGGGGGGGGACGTGAGGTCAGTACCGGTCACGGACACGAGGTGGCGCAGCGTGACCCCTGCAGCAATCATCGTCCCCTCCCCCCCCTAGTACTGGCAGAGTAGTGCACAGGGACAGCTGCCGCTGGGGGTGCCCCTAGGCGAGACGACTCAGCAGCAATCATTGTCCGCCCTACTACTGGCAGACTGATGCCCTCCAGGGTCACCCGCTCACTCGCTCACTCACCCACCCACTCACAAGCTCAACTACTCATCCACTCACTCACCCACTCACTAGCTCATCCACTCACTCACCCACCCACTCAACCACCCACTCACTCACCCACTCATCCACTCACCAGCTCATCCACTCACTCATCCACTCACTCACTAGCTCAGACACTCACCCACCCACTCACTAGCTCACCCACTCATACACTCACCCACTCACTAGCTCATCCACCAACTCGCTCACTCACCCACTCGCTCAACCCACCCACTCAACCCACCCACTCGCTCACCCCACCCACTCGCCCTTGCACGCGCGCCAACTGCCATCCTCCCCGTCGGCACCCACCCGAGTGGAACGAGATCTCGCTGATGAGGAGCCACGCGGCTCCCAGGTAGAAGTGGCACTTGATGGCGATGGCGTTGCGCTGGCCCAGCGGGACGGTGATGAAGCGTGCGCGCGGGTCCACCGTGTCCGGCTCCACCACCAGCCCCACGCCCACGTCCTCTCCACCACCACCACCCTCACCACCGCCACCACCCCCACCGCCACCACCACCACCCTCACCGCCACCACCGCCGCCCTCACCGCCACCACCACCGCCACCGTCGTCACCGCCGCCGCCGCCCTCCCACTCGTCGCTGTCGGAGCGGCGGAAGAAGCAGCGCGCCTCGCGGAAAGTCTGCACGCCGCTCTGGAACATGTTGTTGCAGTGGACCTGTCGGGGGCACGCGGGGGGGGGGGACGCGGGGGGGGGGGACGCGGGGGGGGGGAGGTGGGGGGTGACGTGGAGGGAGGAGGGGGGGAGATGAGAAGGGGGGACACGTGGGGGGAGGGGAGGTGGGGGGGGTGACGTGGTGGGAGGAGGGGGGGAGATGAGGAGAAGGGGGGACACGTGGGGGGGGGACACGGGGGGGGGTGAGGGAGGATGAGGGGGGGGGGACCGGTGGGGGTTAGGGATGATGTTGGGGGGGGGGGCACGGGGGGATAGTGAGAAGGGGAGGGGCACGGGGGGAGGGTGGTGAAGTGTGATGGGGGGTGGGGGGACAAGGAGAGGGGGGGGCACGGGAGGGGGGGGGTGGTGAAGAAGGATGAGGGGGGGGCGGTGGGGGTTAGGGAGGATGTGTGGGAAGGGGGGCACGGGGGGAGGGTGGTGAGGTGTGATGGCGGTGGGGGTGATGATGGAGGAGGGGGGTGCGGGTGGCACCTTCATGGCCGAGAAGTTCCTAGGCTCGTCGAACTCGAAGTGCATGAGGAGGTAGGGCAGGCTGAGGCTGCCGTTGCTCCAGCCCACGTAGTCGTAGCCCGGCCACACGCGGTGCTCGGGGCTCAGCGCAAAGTCGTCCAGGCCCCAGACGCCGTCCGTCAGCTGGCCCAGGCCGCCGTACATCTGCCTGGGGGACACAGGGAGACAGAGAGACACGCGGAGACACAGATAGAGACGCACGCGGAGACAGAGAGACACGCGGAGACACAGATAGAGACGCACGCGGAGACAGATAGAGACGTACGCGGAGACAGAGAGACACGTGGTGTGTGTGAGTGTTCACCACTGTGGTGTGAGTGAGTGAGTGGGTGAGTGTGTGAGTAAATGTGAGTGAGTGTGTGAGTGGGTGGGTGAATTGGTGAGATTGTGAGTGAGTGGGTGAGTGAGTTGGTGAGAGGGTGAGTGAGTGAGTGGGTGAGTGAGTTGGTGAGAGGGTGAGTGAGTGGGTGAGTGAGTTGGTGAGCGAGGTGAGTGAGTGGGGGGGGTGAGTTGGTGAGAGGGTGAGTGAGTGAGTGAGTTGGTGAGAGAGTGAGTGTGAGTGAGTGAGTGAGTGGGTGAGTGAGTGGTGTGAGTGAGTGAGTGAGTAAATGTGAGTGAGTGGGTGAGTGAGTGAGTGAGGGAGTGTGCGTGAGTGGGTGAGTGAGTGAGTGTGAGTGAGTGAGTGAGTGGTGTGAGTGAGTGAGTGAGTAAATGTGAGTGAGTGTGTGAGTGGGTGGGTGATTGGGTGAGTGAGTGAGTGGGTGAGTGAGTGAGTGAGATTGAGTGAGTGTGAGTGAGTGAGGGAGTGTGAGTGAGGGAGTGAGTGGGTGAGTGAGTGAGTGGGTGAGTGAGTGGGTGAGTGAGTGAGTGTTAGTGAGTGAGTGAGTGAGTGTGAGTGAGTGAGTGAGTAAGTGTGAGTGAGTGTGAGTGGGTGAGTGAGTGAGTGAGTGAGTGGGTGAGTGAGTGAGTGAGTGGGTGAGTGAGTGAGTGGGTGGGTGAGTGAGTGAGTGGGTGGGTGAGTGAGTGAGTGGGTGAGTGAGTGCATGAGTGAGTGAGTGAATGAGTGAGTGAGTGAGTGGGTGAGTGAGTGTGTGAGTGGGTGAGTGAGTGTATGAGTGAGTGAGTAAGTGGGTGAGTGAGTGAGTGGGTGAGTGAGTGTATGAGTGAGTGAGGAGGGTGAGTGAGTGAGTATATGAGTGAGTGTGTGAGTGAGTGTGTGAATTAGTGAGTGCGTGGGTGAGTGAGTGAGTGAGTCGGTGAGTGAGTGAGTGGGTGAGTGAGTGAGTGTATGAGTGAGTGTGTAAGTGGGTGAGTGAGTGTGTAAGTGGGTGAGTGAGTGAGTGTATGAGTGAGTGGGTGAGTGAGTGAGTGGGTGAGTGAGTGTGTGAGTGAGTGGGTGAGTGTGTAAGTGGGTGAGTGGGTGAGTGAGTGAGTGTCCACCACGGGTGGCGGCCTCACCGGGAGGCGATGAAGCCGTCGTAGGTGGAGTCGTTGAGGTTGGCGGGCGCCAGGGAGGGCAGGAGGAGCGTCTCTCCCTCGGGGGCCGAGTAGGAGACGAGCCCGTCTGGGTGACGCACAGGGAGACACACGCAGAGACACACGGAGAGACACACGGGGTGAGACACACGGAGAGAGACACGGGGTGAGACACAGAGAGACACACGGAGACACACGGAGAGACACGGGGGGAGACACACGGGGAGAGACACGGGGAGAGACACGGAGAGACACACGGGGGGAGACACACGGGGAGACACACGGGGAGAGACACGCGGAGACACACGGGGAAAGACACGGGGAGACGCACGGAGAAACGCACGGAGAGACACACGGAGAGACACGGGGAGACACACGGGGAGACACACGGGGAGAGACACGGAGAAACACGGAGTGAGACACGGGGAGACACACGGGGAGAGACACGGGGAGAGACACAAAGAAACACGGAGAGAGACACGGGGTGAGACACGGGGAGCCGGGGGAGGACGGGCCCCGTGGTGGGGGGGGGGGGCGGTTGAGGGTTGGGGTTTCAGTGCTGGGGGGAAAGTTAGTGGGGGGGGGCGGGTTGGTGTGGGGGGAGTGGGAGGGTGTTGGGGTTGGGGGTGGGGGGGGCGGGTTGGTGTGGGGGGAGTGGGAGGGTGTTGGGGTTGGGGGTGGGGGGGGGCGGGTTGGTGTGGGGGGAGTGGGAGGGTGTTGGGGTTGGGGGTGGGGGGGGCGGGTTGGTGTGGGGGGGTGTTGGGGGTGTTGGGGTGGGGGGGGTCGAGGGGGGGGTCAGGCCCCACCAGCCCAGGGGCAGCCGTAGAGCTCCACGCGCATGCACACGCTCATGGCGCGGTCGGTGACGGCGACGAAGCGCACGAAGCGCGCCACGAGGGCGGGCCCCAGGTCCTTGAGCACCACGTCCTGCGTGTTCACGTTGCCCTGGATCACCTGCGGGGCACAACAACAACAACAACCGCCATTCGCCACTAAGTGGCAGTGACGTCACCACGACGCATGTGCCAGGCCAAGTGCACCTTGAGGCCACGTGAAGTGTCGAACGCCCGCTGGCAGGAGGTCACGGGGCAGACCCAGCAGGTGCCACGGGTCGACTGACTGAGATGACTGGCTAAAGCACGGGGCACGCGCAGGTAACCACCCCCACGCCACCTGGAGCGTATGTTGAAGTGCAGTGTTGAGTCTATGGGTAGTGTTGAGTCTACGGGTAGTGTTGAGTCTACGGGCAGTGTTGAGTCTATGGGTAGTGTTGAGTCTACGGGTAGTGTTGAGTCTATGGGCAGTGTTGAGTCTATGGGTAGTGTTGAGTCTATGGGCAGTGTTGAGTCTATGGGTAGTGTTGAGTCTATGGGTAGTGTTGAGTCTACGGGTAGTGTTGAGTCTATGGGTAGTGTTGAGTCTATGGGTAGTGTTGAGTCTACGGGTAGTGTTGAGTCTATGGGCAGTGTTGAGTCTATGGGTAGTGTTGAGTCTATGGGCAGTGTTGAGTCTATGGGCAGTGTTGAGTCTATGGGCAGTGTTGAGTCTTTGGGCAGTGTTGAGTCTATGGGTAGTGTTGAGTCTATGGGTAGTGTTGAGTCTACGGGTAGTGTTGAGTCTACGGGCAGTGTTGAGTCTATGGGCAGTGTTGAGTCTATGGGCAGTGTTGAGTCTATGGGTAGTGTTGAGTCTACGGGTAGTGTTGAGTCTATGGGCAGTGTTGAGTCTATGGGTAGTGTTGAGTCTATGTGCAGTGTTGAGTCTATGGGCAGTGTTGAGTCTATGGGCAGTGTTGAGTCTATGGGCAGTGTTGAGTCTATGTGCAGTGTTGAGTCTATGTGCAGTGTTGAGTCTATGGGCAGTGTTGAGTCTATGGGCAGTGTTGAGTCTATGTGCAGTGTTGAGTCTATGGGCAGTGTTGAGTCTATGGGCAGTGTTGAGTCTATGGGCAGTGTTGAGTCTATGGGCAGTGTTGAGTCTATGGGCAGCGGCTATTTGCTTTGGGCTCCTCCGTTGCTAAGGGGACCCCTCGCCTCGTCGCCACGGAGCTCCTCCGTCGCTAAGGGGACCCTCGCCTGGTTGCCACGGGGCTCCTCCGTTGCTAAGGGGACCCCTCGCCTCGTCGCCATGGGGCTCCTCCGTCGCTAAGGGGACCCTCGCCCCGTCACCACGGGGCTCCTCCGTCGCTAAGGGGACCCTCGCCCCGTCACCACGGGGCTCCTCCGTCGCTAAGGGGACCCTCGCCCCGTCACCACGGGGCTCCTCCGTTGCTAAGGGGACCCCTCGCCTCGTCGCCACGGGGCTCCTCCGTTGCTAAGGGGACCCTCGCCTCGTCGCCACGGGGCTCCTCCGTTGCTAAGGGGACCCTCGCCTCGTCGCCACGGGGCTCCTCCGTTGCTAAGGGGACCCCTCGCCCCGTCGCCACGGGGCTCCTCCGTTGCTAAGGGGACCCCTCGCCCCGTTGCCACGGGGCTCCTCCGTTGCTAAGGGGACCCCTCGCCTGGTTGCCGCGGCGGTCCCTCCACGGCAGCCATCGGTGCGCGTCGCGGCTGTACTCGAGGCGGTAGGCCCTGGCGAACTCGTTGCCGAGGCCGTTGCCGTGGCGACCCTGCGTGCCGACGAGCGTGACCACGTGGAGACGCCGCAGGTCCACCTGCAGGAACTGCGAGTGCTGCGGCGTCACGGGGCCGTCGGCGCACCACGCACCGTCGCCTTCCTCCAGGTTCAGCCTGACGCGGGGGGGGGGGGGGCACACGGGGCGACTACGCTGAAACTACAACCACTACAACAACTACAACCACTACAACAACTACAACCACGACAACAACTACGACAACAACTACAACATTTACAATAAGAACAACAACCACAACTACAACAACAACCACCACTATAACAACCACCGCTATTACTACTGCCTCACCACCACCACCACTACTACCTCACCATCACCACCACCACTGCCTCACCACCACCACCACTACTACTGCTGCCTGTGAGTGAGTGAGCTTCACTGTGAGTGACTGAGTGTTGAGCGAGCGGTGAGCGAGGGTTGTGCGAGCGGTGAGCGAGCGGTGAGTGAGTGAGTGTGAGTGAGTGAGTGTGAGTGAGTGGTGAGTGAGTGGTGAGCGAGTGTGAGCGAGTGTGTGAGTGAGTGTGTGAGTGGTGAGTGAGCGAGCGGTGAGCGAGCGGTGAGCGAGCTGTGAGCGAGTGGTGAGCGAGTGTTGAGTGAGTGTGAGTGAGTGAGTGGTGAGTGAGTGTGAGCGAGTGTGAGCGAGCGGTGAGCGAGCTGTGAGCGAGTGGTGAGCGAGTGTTGAGCGAGTGAGTTGCCCTGTGAGTGACTGAGTGGTGAGTGAGTGGTGAGTGAGTGTGAGTGAGTGAGTGGGGAGCGAGCGGTGAGCGAGCGTTGAGCGAGTGGTGAGTGAGCGAGCGGTGAGCGAGTGTTGAGCGAGTGGTGAGCGAGTGTTGAGCTGCTCACCTGGCGAAGCGCGCCCCGGTCGACTCGTACCACTCGCTCGAGGCGGAGATGTCCTCGTCGCGGATGGTGCCATCCTGCATCCCCAGGGCATAGCGGCACAGGCCTGCACACACACACGCAGCCCACACAAAGACAAAGGTCCCCCGTATAGCCTCGACACACTGTGGGGGCAAGTGCTGCGAGCGAGTAGCAGGAGGAGCCGTACCGCTGGCACGAGGTGGCGCGCGGAGGAGTGTGTGGACTAATCCCCATCTGAGTTAATGAGTTAATGATGACGTCACCCTGCTGCTGCTCTATATAAGAACGGGAGACACAGCAGAGCCTCACCATTCTGGCGAAATGCCCGATGATGCTGGATGCAATTACCAGCGAAACGTCGTACTCAAATTGTAAATGTTGTGGTTTCACGCTTCAACACACCGGTGGGCTAAAGCAGTGAACTATTTGTCTTTTGTCAACGTGACACTTTTTTACTGATTGGCCGTGTCGGGTGGTGGAGGGTTACGACACATTTATAAATAACGCGATTTAAACCCAAAAACGTTGATTATGAATAATATTGGTCGCGAAAGCCTGCTACGTGTTAAACTAATCCCCATCTGTTCCACACTCCCCTTCGACCCGTGGGTGTCGAGAAGGAGCCGTGCCCGAACTCTGCCAGGAGAAGGCGGCGCTCAGCAAAGCGAGCGGACTCACGCAGCCTCACCACCACCACTGCCTGGCTCTGTGGTGGTGGTAGCGGTGATGGTGGTCGTGGTGGTGGTGGAGGTAACGGTGGTGGTGGTGGAGGTGATGGTTGATGGTGGTGATGGTGGTGGTAGTTGTGGTGGTGATGGCGGTGGTGGTGGTGGAGGTGATGATGGTGGTAGCGGTGGTGGAGGTAACGGTGGTGGTGGAGGTGATGATTGATGGTGGTGATGGTGGTGGTGATGGTGATAGTTGTGATGGTGGTAGTTGTGGTGGTGCTGTTGGCGGTGGTGGTGATGGTGGTGGAGGTAGTAGCGGTGGTGGAGGTAACGGTGGTGGTGGAGGTGATGGTTGATGGTGGTGATGGTGGTGGTGATGGTGGTAGTTGTGGTGGTGGTGGTGGTGGTGGAGGTGATGATGGTGGTAGCAGTGGTGGAGGTAACGGTGGAGGTGGTGGAGGTGGTGGTGGTGGAGGTGATGGTTGATGGTGGTAATGGTGGTGGTGATGGTGGTGGTGGTGCTGGGTAAATGGCGAGACGCAGGGACCCCCCCCCCCCCCAGCGAGTCTATGGGCAGTGTTGAGTCTATGGGTAGTTTGTCTAAATCAGAATATTTGTTCATACTGGAGGAATCCGATGACCTATAAAGCTCATTTTTTCCACAGATGTCCAGTCGCTAGCTGTGTAAATTCAGAACTTCCTTCGCACTCTCCTTAGGTCAGCCTCACCGATGTCCACCTGGGCGACCAGCGTGGACGGGAGGACCAGCAGCAGTAGCAGCGGCACCGCGGCCACGTGCAGCAGGGCACACATGTGGCGGCTCCCGGCGTCTCGACCTGCACACAAAGACAAAGGGTCACTCCGTATAGCCTTAGCTGACTGTTGGGGCAAGTGCTGTTAGCGAGCGGCAGCGCCTGTGAAGGCCGGCGCCGTGGCAGGTTGTCTGGACCGCCTTTGTCTCCCCTCGTGGCGACGCTTGCCACACACCGCGTGAGCCGGTTCAGATAATGGTCACCGGTGTTGTCTCGTCGGCGCTAAGCGCTGCGCCACCGCTCCTCCGCAACCCACTCTGCAGCACGAAGCTCCACTCGCAGAGCGACGCCCCGAATCGGGAGTCGAACCCAGGTCCGTTTCTTATCTGTGACGTAGACTCAACACTGCCCATAGACTCAACACTGCCCATAGACTCAACACTGCCCATAGACTCAACACTGCCCATAGACTCAACACTGCCCACAGACTCAACACTGCCCATAGACTCAACACTGCCCATAAACTCTACACTGACCATAGACTCAACACTACCCATAGACTCAACACTGACCATAGACTCAACACTACCCATAGACTCAACACTACCCATAGACTCAACACTACCCATAGACTCAACACTGCCCATAGACTCAACACTGCCCATAGACTCAACACTGCCCATACACTCAACACTGCCCATAGACTCAACACTACCCATAGACTCAACACTACCAATAGACTCAACACTGACCAAAGACTCAACACTGCCCATAGACTCAACACTGCCCATAGACTCTACACTGACCATAGACTCAACACTACCCATAGACTCAACACTGCCCATAGACTCAACACTGCCCATAGACTCAACACTGCCCATAGACTCAACACTACCAATAGACTCAACACTGACCATAGACTCAACACTGCCCATAGACTAAACACTGCCCATAGACTCAACACTGACCATAGACTCAACACTACCCATAGACTAAACACTGACCATAGACTCAACACTGCCCATAGACTCAACACTGCCCATAGACTCACACTGCCCATAGACTCAACACTGCCCATAGACTCAACACTGCCCATAGACTCACACTGCCCGTAGACTCAACACTACCCATAGACTCAACACTACCCATCGACTCAACACTGCCCATAGAATCACACTGCCCATAGACGCAACACTGCCCATAGACTCAACACTGCCCATAGACTCAACACTACCCATAGACTCAACACTGCCCATAGACTCAACACTGCCCATAGACTCAACACTACCCATAGACTCAACACTGCCCATAGACTCAACACTACCCATAGACTCAACACTGCCCATAGACTCAACACTACCCATAGACTCAACACTGCCCATAGACTCAACACTACCCATAGACTCAACACTACCCATAGACTCAACACTGCCCAAAGACTCAACACTACCCATAGACTCAACACTGCCCATAGACTCAACACTACCCATAGACTCAACACTGCCCATAGACTCAACACTGCTCATAGACTCAACACTGCCCAAAGACTCAACACTGCCCATAGACTCAACACTGCCCATAGACTAAACACTGCCCATAGACTCAACACTGCCCACAGACTCAACACTACCCACAGACTCAACACTGCCCAAAGACTCAACACTACCCATAGACTCAACACTACCCATAGACTCAACACTGACCATAGACTCAACACTGCCCATAGACTCAACAATGCCCATAGATTCAACACTGACCATAGACTCAACACTACCCATAGACTCAACACTACCCATAGACTCAACACTGCCCATAGACTCAACACTGCCCATAGACTCAACACTGCCCATAGACTCAACACTGCCCATAGACTCACACTGCCCATAGACTCAACACTGCCCATAGACTCACACTGCCCATAGACTCAACACTGCTCATAGACTCAACACTGCCCATAGACTCACACTGCCCATAGACTCAACACTGCCCATAGACTCAACACTGCCCATAGACTCAACACTACCCATAAACTCAACACTACCCATAGACTCAACACTACCCATAGACTCAACACTGCCCATAGACTCAACACTGCCCATAGACTCAACACTGCCCATAGACTCAACACTGCCCATAGATTAAACACTGCCCATAGACTAACACTACCCATAGACTCAACACTGCCCATATATTAAACACTGCCCATAGACTAACACTACCCATAGACTCAACACTACCCATAGATTAAACACTGCCCATAGACTAACACTACCCATAGACTCAACACTGCCCACAGACTCAACACTGCCCATAGACTCAACGCTGCCCACAGACTCAACACAACCCACAGACTCAACACTGCCCATAGACTCAACACTGCCCATAGACTCAACACTGCCCACAGACTCAACACTGCCCATAGACTCAACACTGCCCATAGACTCAACGCTGCCCACAGACTCAACACTACCCACAGACTCAACACAACCCACAGACTCAACACTGCCCACAGACTAACACACCATTATGGGTAAAACAACAACTTCAACAACAACTTCTGATGGAGCTCTGCAGTTCTACTCGAGTGGGGCAGCAACAGCAGCGACATCGGCGATGTTGTTGTGCTGCTGCTGCACGGGTGGTGTGTTGTTGTGCTGCTGCTGCTGCACCGGTGGTGTGTTGTTGTGCTGCTGCTGCACGGGTGGTGTGTTGTTGTGCTGCTACTGCTGCACTGGTGGTGTGTTGTTGTGCTGCAGCTGCTGCACTGGTGGTGTGTTGTTGTGCTGCTGCTGCTGCTGCACTGGTGGTATGTTGTTGTGCTGCAGCTGCTGCACTGGTGGTGTGTTGTTGTGCTGCTGCTGCTGCACTGGTGGTGTGTTGTGCTGCAGCTGCTGCACTGGTAGTGTGTTGTTGTGCTGCTGCTGCTGCCTCAAATGAGTACCTGGTGCTAGGGAGACAAAGGCGGTCGGGCGCGGGTGCTGGCCGCCCACCCGCTCGTGTGCCGTGCCGACCTTTATAGGTGCTCGCTAACAGCACTTGCCCCTCCAGTCTGTTAAGGCTATACGGAGGATCTTTGTCTTTTTTATGTGTCTCTGTGTGCTGTGTGTGTCTGTGTGTGTGTGTATGTGTGTGTGTGTATGTGTGTGTGTCTGTGTGTGTGTCTGTGTGTGCGTCTCTGTGTGTGTGTCTGTGTGTGTGTGTCTGTGTCTGTGTGTCTCTGTGTGTGTCTGTGTCTGTGTGTGTCTGTGTGTGACTGTGTGTGTCTGTGTGTGTCTGTGTGTGTGTCTGTGTGTGTATGTGTCTGTGTGTGTGTGTGTCTGTGTGTGTCTGTGTGTGTGTCTGTGTGTGTGTGTCTGTGTGTGTGTCTGTGTGTGTGTCTCTGTGTGTGTGTGTCTGTGTGTGTGTGTGTCTGTGTGTGTGGGCAACACTGTCGTGGGCAGTGCTGTGGGGGGAGGGCCAATGCCCATTGGCCTCTCCCCTCATGGCGTCTGTGACCACCACAGTGGCTAAACGGGGGCTCTGGACGGGTGTGAGGGGCTGGTAACCCCTCCACCTTCAATTAACCACCACTAAACCACGAATTAAACATAAACCTGTAACAAATAAGCTTGTGCCGGAGGCCCCGGGGGGTCAGGCTTTTATGACGTCTCCTGGCCAAACCCCATTTGGCGGAGCCAGGAGATTGAATTTTCACCCTCGGGGCTCCTCCAGAAACAACAAAAAACCATTGCGGATGGCCACGTGGAATGTTCGAACGCTCACTGCGGAGGAGAGGCTGCCACTCCTCTGTCGGGAGCTGGACCGGTACCGCCTGGATCTCTGTGGCATTCAGGAGGTCCGGTGGACCGGTTCTGGCTCCTGCCACCATGAGGGGTGGACAGTCCTCTACTCGGGGCAGGAGACTGCCAAACAACAGGGTGTGGCTCTTCTTCTGAACAAAAGAATGAAGGGGGCATGGGAGCGTGGCGGTGAGGTGTGGGAAGCTGTAAGCCCCAGGATACTTTGGGCTCGCCTTCCCATCAACCAGAGGCGAGGAGTGGTGGTCGTGGTTACTTATGCCCCCACCGAAGACGAACATCCGTGGAGGGATGCAGGCAAAGCCGATGAGTCAGACGCTTTCTATGACCTCCTGTCACAGGTGCTGGCTAAAGTGGCCACTCGGGACAGAGTCATCTTGTTGGGTGACTTCAATGCCCGAGTTGGTCATGATGCTGGTACCTGGTCTGGAGTGATTGGAAGGCATGGGCCAGATCAGCTCAATAATAACGGTAGGAGGCTGCTAGATTTTTGTGCAGCCCATGGGCTTGTAATTACCAACACGCTCTTCCGGCATCGGCGCATCCACACAACATCATGGATACATGCCGGGTCCAAGCAAGAACATCTGCTGGACTACATAGTGACGGACCAGCGGATGCGAACCCATGTCCTTGACACCAGGACCTACCGTGGAGCTGATCTGTCCTCTGACCATCGACTAGTCATCTGTAAGATGCGCCTGCCTTTCTTCCACTCTGGTGGTGGGTGTACACCCAGGATCCCATTCCAACCAAAAGTGGCCTGGTCTCAGTTAGCTGATGAAAGTTGCAAGCGAGAATTTCATCATCGCTTGCAGCTGGGGTTGGCATCGTCCCCCACTCCACCTGATGTCGAGGGGAAATGGGCGAGGTTTAAGACTGTGACTCATGCAGCTGCAATGGCTGCTTTGGGTACGCGGTCCAGACCTCCCCAGAAACCCTGGCTGACAAAGGAGGTGTTCAGGTTAATTGAGAAAAAGCGTCAGGCCCACTCTCATCGCCTACAGCATCCCACGTCAGAGAATGAGGAGGTTTACCGCAGCCTTCGCTCGGAAGTTCGGAGAGCCGTAAGGCGCTGTAAGGATGGGTGGTGGTCGCGGGTTGCTGAGGAGATGGAGTCTGCCTCAGTGGCCCGTGATCACAAATCACTATTTAACTCCATCAAAAAAGTAACCTGCAGCGCCACACCTATTACCATCATTAGAGGAAAAAACGGTGATCCAATCTCCGACCCCCAGGAACAGGTTTGCAGATTTGCTGAGCATTTCTGTGAAGTCCTGGGGGAGG